ACAGCCCCGCCCGCGAGCCCCCAGCTTCCCCCGCCGTGCATGGCACGGAGGATCGGGGCCACCACGCCCCAGTCCCCGCAGAGAGCGCAGACCCGCAGCTGGCATCTCACACACACACTCTCTCTCTCTCTGGCTGATGGGAGGCATGCTCCCGAAAGTCGCCCATAACTTGGGAATTCCCTCTTCCCCCTCCTGCCCTCCGCCATCCCGTGGCAGGGAGCGAGCAGCACTTTCCCCCGCTGCACGCGCCAGCGATTCTCTCTGAGACGCGCGCCAGGCTAAGGTTCGCTCCGCTCGGCGCTCGACTCGTGCTGCTTGCTCGCAGCCCCAGCCTGAGGCTGCCTTGGCAAAGAGAAGCCTGTGCAGCCTAGCCGAGCGGGATTTTCAGGAACAATAACAGAAAGCGCTGGGGCTGAGGGAGCCGAGCCACGAGGCCCCCTCCCTCCCTCGCCCACCTGCCCGCCCCACCAGCTCGTCGCCAGGCCGCCTCCCCCCCCAATCACTTTATTTTAAAAATATTTTTTTTATCCCCCCCCCCAGGCACGGGGCTGGGGCAGGGGAAGCCCGAGCTTCCCCCAACCCCAGCCCCCAGAACGGGTCTGGGAGCTTGCCGGGCTGGGGGGATAGCTTCCTGAAGCCTGCATTCGCCCCATAGGACGCACATACATTTCCCCTTCATTTTTGGAGGGGAAAAAGTGCGTCCTATAGGGCGAAAAATACGGTAAGTGGGTTTGCTGGTGGCATGGGGCTGCATACACACAGCTGGACAGCCAACGTCTCCAGATCTCAGGGGCTCCCCACAATCCCTATAAAGGCCATAAATCTATGAAGCCATGACTTTGCTTGCTTCTAGTCACTTTTCCACCATAGGAGCAAACATGAGACATTGCCCCCCCCCCACTCCACGTCCAAACTAATAAGAACCACAACAAGAGACTCAGCACCAAGCCTGTTTTCCATTTAATAACGTGCATAAATTTTTATTAAAGTTACATTTCAATGAAAAAAAATCTTCAGTTTCTGTACACAATAAATTAAAACTGGACTATGCCCCTGATGGGAAAGGGGTCAATGTAGATTCTGGGATGACCCTCCAAAGTCTCTCTGACGACACTTTTTCATGGTAAAGGGAAAACTGGTTCCTCTTACCCCATACAAGCTGCCATCAACAGGAACACTTGGAAGAGCACCACACACCCATTCTATATTGCAAGTATCTGTAATACATTAAAAGGAACAGTATCCTGTGCAGGTGCTCCCTGTGGCTCCCCATGCTCAGCCAGGACCTCCTGCTGTGAAGAGGAAAAGGATCAGGCTGAATATTAAACTCCATTATCTCGCCCCCCCCCCCCGGTTATTTGGAGATGCTGACATCATCTGCCTCTCACCACCCAACAGGGAAGGGTATTTGCATGCTATAAAAGGAGCTGTCTCTCCTCAAATCCTTCTTGATGCAAAACAACTTACTTAACTGCTTAAGCAAGACACAGATTAGTTCACCTCAGCTCTTCTATTCTCTTCCTGCATTTCTGCACTTCTCTCCACATGACAATCTGAGCCGACAGCATGGTCCAAGTGACTACTAACTTAATGCTGCTTGCGTATATAATAAATAATAATAATAATAATAATAATACTTTATTATTTATACCCCACCCATCTGACTGGCCCTCCCCAGCCACTCTGGGCGGCTTCCATAGAAACCAAAAATACACTAAAATATCACACGTTAAAAACTTCCCTGAACAGGGCTGCCTTAAGATGTCTTCTGAATGTCAGGTAGTTGTTTATCGCTTTGACATCTGCTGGAAGGGCGTTCCACAGGGTGGGCGCCACTACCGAGAAGGCCCTCTGCCTGGTTCCCTGTAGCTTTGCTTCTCGCAATGAGGGAACCGCCAGAAGGCCCTCGGCGCTGGACCTCAGTGTCCGGGCTGAATGATGGGGGTGGAGACGCTCCTTCAGGTATACTGGGCCGAGGCCGTTTAGGGCTTTAAAGGTCAACACCAGCACTTTGAATTGTGCTTGGAAACGTACTGGGAGCCAATGTAGGTCTTTCAAGACCGGTGTCATGTGGTCTTGGCGGCCGCCCCCAGTAACCAGTCTAGCTGCCGCATTCTGGATTAGTTGTAGTTTCCGAGTCACCTTCAAAGATAGCCCCACATAGAGCGCATTGCAGTAGTCCAAGCGGGAGATAACCAGAGCATGCACCACTCTGGCGAGACAGTCCAGTGCCCAGAACAGCAGCACTGGGTAAGAATATTTCTTAAAGCATCTAATTCACTCATTTCCCCACCCCCAAATATCCACTGTTTTGAAGGCTAGAAAATGTTTAAGACAACAGTAAGTCAAAACTGTGATTCTCAAGATCCTAAGAGATGTGCTAGCCGCCAGAGAAATGTCAGGTATCTCAGGACTTTTTTCCATGCCCATATAAAATCCACTCTTAAAACACACACAAATATATGTCAAAATGACCGCTAAGCTAATGTGTTAGGGAAAGGGAGTTGGCCAACTACAGGTCACACCAAGTTCCATTGTAAGATTTGATGGTCTTCCCAAAACAGGTGTAGTGTGAAGGCAGTAGCCTGGCTCTCCCCAGCAGTTGAGGGCTAGAAATAGGCAGGAAAAGCCAATTCCAATGAATGTAAATATTAAGTAACTATTACCCAAGACATCTTAAAACAGCCTCAACATTCAGATGCAATATGCCTTTGATTCTGGGGATAAAGAAGAGAGGAAAGTCTTCATAAACCTGCTCTCTTTATTAGCTTTCAGCTGGCTGGGCAAAATGGACCTTTGGTTTGAGACTGCAAGGCAGCTCCACATTTCCAGCGTCAATTACCTTCCACACCTAGCATTGCAGCTACTTCCTGCTGCACAGTATTTGTTTGCATATGTCTGCAGACCACAGCCGATTCTTTTCTTGGATAATAAAAATATTCTGATGAGGAGTGACTCAAGGGCCCTTCACAGGAGTGTCCAACACTGAAAATACTGCCCCAGAACAGTGTGATTCCACAGGAAAGGACAAGCACCTTATGGTTTAAAATGGCACCACACTGAAGCAACTCTGCAATTTTGAATGTGGCTATAAAAGGCCTGCAGCGGTAGGTGTTAAGCATGTAAGAACTGCCCTGCCCCATTAGACCAGAGGTCTGTGTAGTCCAACACACTTCTTCCGACCATGGTCAACAAGATGCTGTCAGGAAACCGACAGGCAGCACTTGATGGGAACGGAGATTCAGTAGCTCACTCCTTGTAAGTGTGGAGGTTCTATCTAGTCATCATGATTTGTAACCATGTGCTAGCTAGACCTATCCTCTGGGTCCCGGTCCCCCCATTGTAGCACCCCTTGGCAAAGGCCCTACGTTAACCAACAATGACTGGAACATAAAGGGAGCAGGAAATGTATAATTCTCCCAGGGCCAGGTAAAATAAGGAGCAGCCGATCTCTACCTTAACACTGTTCTACTCCTAGAAAACGCTTGGGGGATTACAAAAGGCTGTCCAGGATAGGTTAGCAAGAAAGGAAGGCTCAGTGCTTCTTCACATTCCCCAGGAGGAAGCCATTTCACCCCCATGGTTGATAAGTCTAAAGAAGATAATGCATCCCCCAAATTTGGTAATATCCTTATGCTACAAAGAGGTGCAACTTGTATGTCACAAACAGCCATCAAGGAAGAAAGCTCTTGATCAGCCTGCAAAGCCAATAGAGACTGATCTCATGCAGAGCAGTAGCCTCTGATGAAGAGCCCAGAAGCCGACTGCCCGCTCTTGTGTCTGCTTCTATTCCGATGTGCGCAGACAAAGCAGCGGCCTGTGCTCCCATGGAGACAAGGACAGACCCAACTCAGATGGGCTTGTAGAGGAGAGTAGTGACGTATTTCTTCTTGTAGCGATGAGTGGCACTGAGCACCATGACACCATCCTGGGAGGGAAGGAGAAAGGAGGATTTAAAGGGTTCTAGAATACCATGGCATGGTGCTCTCCACTACATGTTTTGGACTGCAAATCCTATCAGCTCCAGCCAATATGGACAATCGTCAAAGATGATGGGAACTGTAGTCCCAAACATCTGGAGAGCACCAGGTATTGGCTACCCCTCACTGCTTACAGAGGGCTGGTGGGGGAAGTTCTGAGCAGGGGTTAAGAGAATGAAGATATTAGAGCAGAAAGTTTGTGCTTAGAGGGTTTTTGTACACTTTCACCCTTCCTCTTTCCCCATCCTTAATTTTCTTCCAAAGTAAAATACTTGCAGACTCAAAGTGTAAAATGGGCTGCTCCCATCCTCATTGAGAAGAGCTGGAAGAAAGTGAGAAATTTGAGAAGAGGCACTTGGAGCAGAACAGCAGACAAGATATAGGCAGCCTCAGACATAAAAAGTGCTTTCCATTTCAGGTAAAGGTAAAGGACCCCTAGACGGTCAAGTCCAGTCGAAGGCGACTATGGGGTGTGGCACTCATCTCCCTTTTCAAGCCGAGGGAGCTTGTCCACAGACAGCTTTCAGGGTCAAGTGGCCAGCATGATTAAACTGCTTCTGGTACAACAGAACACTGTGACAGAAAACAGAGCGCACAGAAACGCCATTTACCTTCCCGCCGCAGTGGTACCTATTTATCTACTTGAACTGGTGTGCTTTCGAACTGCTAGGTTGGCAGAAACTGGGACAGAGCAACAGGAGCTCACCCCATCACACAGATTGAAACCATCAACCTTCCGATTGGCAGGCCTAAGAGGCTCAGTGGTTTAGTCTCTCATTTCAGCTTCTCCCCAAGAATGCTTTTTTTTCTGAACAGCTCCCTCAATCACAGCTATCTTACCCTGAATTCTAAACTGTTAAAACCCACAACTGGGCAAGGAGGTAAAGCAATTAGCAAGATGGTGCCGTGCATGGCAGGAATGAGAGAGAAGAGAGAACACTCAGTCCATTGCCCTCAAGCTCTGAGGAGGAGGAGCAAGAAGAGGAAGAAGCACTGCAGGCTGCCTGGTCCTGGCCTTACCTTAATTGACAGGGCATAGAGATGGTTCAGCATCACATGGTTTGGCTCCGGCAAGAGGGCTGGGTCACACTGAAACAGAAGGAAATATCACTTTTCACCTATGCAGCCATTTCTAATTCTGTCACTGGGTGCTTACATGTACCTTAAATTTTAGCCGCATGAGGCCAATCAATGTGGGCACACCCCATAGCAGGTAGGTGTGACCTGTCCTGCTCCAGACACTCTGGGAACCACAGCTCACTTTAGAGTAAGGCTGCACCTCCCACAATGGAGCCCTCTATAAAGGTCTTGCTGTATACTGCCTTCGGATTGGTACTCACCGAAATGTTAGTATCCTTGTTAAGGATGACTTGGAGGAGATGGGGAGGAAGAATGGGCGGGGACTTGAAACGCTCCTCAGGTCGATAAACATACATTTCTTGGCCATATATTCCAGGAGGGGAGCCAGAAAGGTCTATTAAAAATAAAGATAGTATGAGAAAGGAAACCAGGAAACACCATCATTTTGGATGTTGACACCAACAGCACAAGAAAGTCACCTCGACAGGAAGTCTCTGAACTTTCTAGGGAGTCCACCTTTAAAGCATCAAACACTTCGAAGTCAGACTTCCTGACATGAATCAGATTGTTAATTGTCCCCATCTGACTGGTGACCACTGGCTGAAAAACAAGACAGAGGTACATGCCATAGCCGCAGGTCAAATCCCCACCCTTCCCAACATATATATGCAGAGAACAAAGTCACATCCCAGGTGAAGCAAGGAGAACTGTGTAGAGGAGGTTAAACACAGCTACAAAAAAGGAAGACTTAAAAATCCTCAGTAGTGGTAGATGTAACATATAAGCAATGCAGAACACAAGGTCTCACTATTCAATTAAAACCTATGAACTACATCGAAAAGCCAGTCAGAATATGTACTAGGGGAGCAGTACATAAATTCAGAAGCACGGTTAAGTGCCAGGGATTCTACCCTGAAAAAAGAAAAAGAGAAGAAATCATAGAAGCAGTCAAAATAATCCAGCAAAACTGGAAGGAAAGCCAGGGGCCTTGTCACTGGCAATTTTAGCCAGAAGGTCCTGCTTGCCTCTTCTAACTATCAGAAGCTACAGAGTGCACTGATAGTTAACCCAGGGGAGTAGCCTGCAGCATGTGACCCTGGCTCAGAGAACTAAGCTGACAGGGCAGGCAACAAGGTCAAGCCCAGCCCACCTGAAAATGTACCGGGGGGGGGGTGTGGGTGTGCAGAAGGACCTCTCAGCAATATGAGACAGACACATGGAAGAAAAGGAGTTACCTCGGAGGGATCATGAACCCACTGGCCATCCACAAAGAACTTGTACTGGTGCTCCCCTTCAGGAAGGTCCAGAATAGCGACAAAGTCATTGTGGCTAAAAGGAGAGGGAGCAATCATCCACAGTGAGAGGCAACAGCTTAGAGCCTCATCCATCCACTCACAGCACCATCTGCCCACTCATGTATCAACTATGGTTCTATCCTGCCCCATAACCATAAAGCTCCAGGTGGCATACATAATCTTTTAAAAAACACAACAGAAATAAAAATAGTCAATATAAAACACGTTACGCATTACTTTCAAAAATGGGGAAATAAAATCTATTAAAAGCCCCCCAAAAGCTTGCAAAAAAACCAAACGGACAACTTAGAAAACTAATCAAACTACTCAAAGTATAAGTGAGCTACATTGTGCCAGAATTTACAGGGAGCCCTGAAAAGAACAGCAAAGTACTAAAGCTGCAATTGTCATGTACTGTCAAATGCCACAGCAATACTGGCACAAGACTGGGTTACCTGGAAGAACACAGAGCCACCACACAGAGCTCCCTGAATCTTAAGGTCCCCTTTGGGGGCCCAATTGTGTATCCTACTGTCAAGTGAAAAGAGGAGATGGCCACAAAGGAGATGGCCTACTCAATGATGGAGCCCGCTAGGGGACAGCCTTTCCAGAGCTCACATGGTGCCTTCTTTATAGTTTTTCAGTGCCACATTAAAACTTTTTAATCACATTTAAACTCCTATTTCAAAGCAACCCAGTGGTCTTTACTGTTTTAATGGTGCTTTAGAGAAACCTTATGTCCTCATTCTTTCAGGGTGGTTTTTAAAGTGAGCGGTTGGCACAGTGGTTCATCCCTCTGCACGCTTTACCCATCAAGTTCAAGGGACCTCCAATGTATGCCAGCTTTCTCTCGAGTCTTGTTCTCTGTACAATATTGTATGAAATAGACCAGTAAAATTTCCAAATTACTGTAAGGTCTGGAATGTATTAGAAATCCCTTGCCTTCCCTTTTAGGTACTGGTGGGGAGGGAGGCTTAAATGAGAACAGCCTGTCCTGCCATTATCTTTGGGCTCTTACAACCTGTGACAGCTGGGGAAGCGTCTCAGTTGCAGTAAATAGATCCAAGTAAAAGAAGTTAAAGTTAAGCACCTGTGAGGAAAGGTTAGTTCCACCCACTAATTAGCATTTAATTAATCATCACCTTAAGCTGAAACAGAAGCACAGCACAGGGTTGCATGCCAGAACCTAAATCTCACAAGGGTAATCCTTTAGCTGTAGCTTTCAGTTCAGGAGCTGAATGCCCATGAGAGGAAATCTTCTAGACAACAAAGAGTTCTAGCTGGCAGCTCTACCCTAGCAGGGAAGCCTAGAGTGGTTGTAGTAAACCTCGACCAGACACACAGATTGCACTCAAGTTTGGAAAGGACTAAAGTTGTACGTTTTACCAAGCCCACAATGCCTAGATCAGTTCCACGGGCTGCAGACCCCATCTCCCAATCGCAGCCTCCTCACGCCCCACCCGGGCATCTCCCCGCCCAGGAGGCCGGCGGTGCGTAGTCGGCAGCCCCCCCTGCCTGCCTGCCTGAGCCGCCGCCCACTGTGGGGCGCAGAGGCCGAGAGGGCAGCCTTGAGGGGGGAACAGTGTCTCTACCAGGGTCTGAGGCGCCTGAGAAGCGAGGAAGGAGGGGAGAAAGGTCTAACCCTAGCCCAAATGCTGACAAAGTATTCAGAACACTGCCCAGGAATACTCTGCGAGAAAATCGGAGACGAAGGGAGCAGGCCCAGGTCAGCGCCACATCCCTTCCGTGGTGGACGAAGCGAGCAAGGACTGGCCCGCGTGAGGGCCTTGCTGGCGATGCAGAGCACCGCGCCCTCACTTCCTAGGGTACCCACCTCGCCCCCCCCTGGGCCCGGTACTCCAATCCCCCGATCTGGCGCACATGCAATGCCGCGAGTTTGTGATGTGCCAGAGGAGTTGCCCCCGCAGTGAGTCGGGAGTCGTGGGGACGGATGACACGCAGGCAAGCTGGCATGTGGGGATTTGGTGTTGGGAGGACTGGCGTGCAAGCTGGGGGGGGGTTAGGGAGAAACACGGGCAAGTTGGGTCGTGAGGATGGGGCTTAAGGATTAGGGAAGGTTAGAGAAGCACATGCATAGGCTGGGTTGTGGGGAAGGGGGCATGGAAGGCCTGCATGTAGACTGGGCCATGGGGGTGAGGGAGATCCCTGTGTAGGCTGGGTTGTAGGGACGAGCATTAGCAATACTTCCCAGTTGAAATACATATAAGTTTATGTTGATTAAAATCATTCACTTTAAATATTGTATTGTTTTTCCTGTTTTTTGTGCACTACAAATAAAATATGTGCAGTGTGCATAGGAATTCATTCATATTTTTTTCAAATTATAGTCCGGCCCCCAACAGTGTCTGAGGGAAAGTGAACCGGCCCCCTGTTTAAAAAGTCTGGGGACCCCTGGCCTAGATAGTGGACGAATCTGCTCCTAAACAAAATATAGACTTCGTCTTCAGTTCAAGCTCAGTCTATGCCCTGTTTAGGTTAAAAGCAGAATTCATAAGCTAAAGAGGTGGTGTAGATCTCAGTTCCATTTTTTAAAAACCAGCTTTTTCAGTTTTCAAAAAAGGGCTTAAAGTAGATGTTACTGCCCTACCCTGCCAGGGTTAATGATACGTTTTATGTGAAGCATTTCGAACCTTTGCAATGTGCCATGTACGACACGGGGCCATCACACACCAAAGTCAGGCCTTCAGAGCATCCATCGCAGCAGAGCACAATGCTTTGCAGCGGCTGAGCCATCAAGCCCTAACAATCCCATGATGCGCAGTCCCCGCCAGCCTTTCCTTCCCAGACCCCCCTTGCTCTTCTGGCCGGGGTTTGCTCTCCTCCCCGACACACCGGCAGAGCAGCCTTTCAGCCAAGGCACCTTTTAATGAGAGGGATCTTGGCACTCCAATTGTTGAAGGATCCAGAGATGAAGACTTCCTTCCCTCCCTCCGTCCATCGTATGACGGTGGGGCGAGCCTGCTGGGCTGCCTTGATGGACTCGTCCAAGTCATGGTGCCAGGACACAAAACCTTTGTCCCCGGGAAGCTGCAGGAGGAAAACAAGAGCTGCATCTTTCCCCCTGGTCCCAGCGCCCAGGGCGCTCCGAAGCCCCCGGGAGGCCCCCGGCCCTTTGCATTCAGCTCTATGGCGGGGTCCCCCGTGAGGCCTCCCTCGGAGCAGCTAGAAACGCCCCCCCCCGCTTCCCAGCCGGGTCTCTAGTCGGGGGGGGGGCAGAAGGCAAGACGCCCCCCCCCCGCCGCGGGTCCTCTAGGGCTACCTTGGCGTCGGGGGCGCTGAAGAGGGCGGGGTCGTCGCTGCTGCCCACCATGATCTTGTGGGGAGGGGGCTCCTTGGCCGGCGGAGCCGCCCCGGAGCCCTCCGAGCGGGGCGCCTTGCTCCCCGGACGCTCTCCGGACCCGCGCTCGCTCGCCGTGTTGCCCATGGCCGGGGGGCGAAGGGGGTTCCGCGGGCAGGAGGAGGAGGAGGAGGCGGCCGCTGCTGCTGCCGCCGCCGCCCTTCGCCCTGGGCCTCCTCTCCGGCGCCCCCTCCCCGGCCCGGCGGGCCCCCGTCAAAATGGCGGCGCCCACGGAGCGCATGCGCCCCGCGCCGCTTTCTCCTCCCGAGGAGGCCCGCCTCGCCTTCTGCGCGGACCCCGGCGGGCAGGAGGCCGCGCGGGAGAGGCCCGCCAGCCGTAGGAAGCCCCTCAAGGCGCTGGTCCTCATTGCGCCGCTGCTTCTGCCGCCGGGAGAAAACGGGGGGGCGGGAGAAGGAGTTGAGGAGAGTGAGGAAGTCCGGAGGAGGCGTGAGGAAGCGCCAAGGGAAACTGGGCGGCCCCACTGCCAGCCCTCGCAAGAGAGAGCCGAGGCCCCGGCGAGGGACGGGGCTCCGGGAGGCGGCGAGAGGAGGAGCCGGAGAGGCGCCTCGGCCGCTGCTGCTCTGCGCCTCTTCCCCCGGGATGCAGAAAGGTCCCTGCTGGACGTTTCTCTCCCTTCGCGCGCCCGCATTCATTCCCCTGCTGCTTCCCTCCGTTCAGCCGCTTGCAGAACCCTTTGGGCTTTAAGCCACTCTTTCAATATGCACTGTTAACATTTATTGGTCAGCCACAGACAGGTTATAGCCAAAAGGCAAATAAAAAGCAAACAGGTTTTAGCAAGCAAGCAAAGAACAGCACGATCAAACACATGTAATAAAACACGTACAATAATATGTAAAACCGTATCTCGGGTTGCGAGGCCAGAGTCTAGGCTTTCCTGAGTTGGGAGCCTTTTACCACAAACTTAGCAGGCTAAGCCAGGCTAGAAAACAGATGTTTAATTTAGTCAGTGTCACTGAGGTTGGTGATCGGCTTTAATAATAATAAACATTTTGTCCTTGGAATTTCATATTACTTGCATAGAGTATATAATGTCCTCTCTTATCTGGCATCCACAGATGCAAAAGCGCTCTTCTCTAGGACTTTACTTCTAATGCTCATCCAGAAAGTTGGCTTTCATTGCCTGAAACCTAGAAATTCTCTACAAAAGAAGGGGGAAGTAACCACAGGCAAGTATTTCTCTAGACTGAACTGGGTTTTGATGTGGGCCCAGTCCTGCAAGTAATTCCTGCAGGTGCTCTTGGATGTTTCCTTGGCTAGACTGCATATTGGCTACTAAAGGAGCTGTGGGATCAAAACTAAATTTCCACAGCAGTGGATTACTGCTGGCCACCCACGTATCTTTGGAGGGCACTCTGAGCTGATCTACACAGAGCTTGACCAGATCATTTACTATGTACTTTAGTTTAAAGTGGAAGGAAAACAGTCCTCTGGATATAACACTGTGGGCTTTAATCCTGCTTCCGCTCGTACCTGGTGGAAGGCACAGTGGGATTCGGATTAATTTACTCTGCACTGCCTGACTTTTTCATCTGGCTGTTTACAGCCACCCTAATTCAGAATGAAGTTCAATTGCCAGAAGATTTCCAAGTTACATATTGACTCTAGGTTGTCTTTTAGCAATCTTTTTTCATGCCCTGAATTATAAAGTTCAAAGGAAAATGTAGTTGTGCATTTTCCTGCATCAGCAGGATGTTAAACAAGATTGTCTTTGAGGTCCCTTCCTTCCAGCTCTATGATTCTGTGAAGCATTGATTCTGCTTCTGAAGGGCTGTAAATCTTATTTAGGGTTGCAATCAATTTGGTGCTAAAATACACTTTATTTTTTAACAAAATTAACACCCACACTTTAAAAATATTGAGGGATAAAAAGGTAAGGTATAATTGAATTGACTGACAAATTTGAATAACATTTAATATACATATAATTGTATGTTTGGCGCAAAACCTGATTGGTCCACATGAATTAATTTAATTATAGTATTAAAATGTTTTGTGAAATTAGGTTTTATACTTGTGATTAAGAAGAGCAATTGGACAATAGGGTTCTTTAAAAATGTTTTTAAAAGATTTGGGAATAACTGCAATCCAGGAGAGTTTGCAGGTGTCAGGGGGAGGAAGTTACCGTCTAAAATTCCATTGAAAGGTCTGTGCAAAATAGGGATTGAAGCATCTTTGAAACATTTATAAATTTCATTAGTGAAGCTATCAGATCCTCAGGATTTATTTGTTTTGAGGGATTTATGATCAGTTTCAGCCAATTCCTCTTTCTATTAAACAATGTTGTTCTTCAGCATTTAAAAATAAGCAAAAATTGCAGCCAAGAGAGCCACAAGGCCAACCAGCTTGATCCACAGGGGCACGAAGGTGTTGCTGCTTGAATTGTCAACAGGCCTTGTTCTCAAGGGTTTCAGGATCCGGTTGTGTTGCGCCAAGATGGCTTTCCTGGCTCCATCCCATTTCCCTGGTCCTTCGAGGCGGTACTGATAGGGTGTGCATGGCCCAAACAAAAGCTCCCAGGCCAGTTTGGGGTCAGAAAGAAACAGAGGCCATACACTGGGCTTGACCCCCACCAGACAAGCCAATTCATCCATGTACTCAATATAGTCCACTTGGATGGTGTGGCGTTGGCTCTTCACATACCTGGCATGGAAGGGGGAAGAGATAAATATAGTTTACTTTGCTATTCATTCAATCAGTCACATTTATAACCCACCCTTCCTCCCTATGGGGAGCCCAGGGTGGCTCACACCAATAAAATTACATAAACCGATTCAAAACAATATTACAGGCAGCAGTTAAAACCAACAGTATAAAAAAAAGATATAACTATCTGCCCCAAACTTTGATGAAGGAGTTTGATAGCCAGCATGCTGCTTCTGAGACTGTCCTAACCCGCATCCCAGCAGAAGTGGTTAGGGGGCAGGGAGTGGCACATTCCTCTTTCACCTCAGGTGCTCCTGGGCAAGACCAGGTGTAGGGTCTCTCCCCCAAATCACCAACTTCAGGATGGAAGCTACTTGGCTCCCAAGTGATGGAGGGCTTTGCATCCTAGTACTCCCACCTTGAACTGGGCCCAGTAGCTCACAGGCAGCCACTGCTGTGCCCCAAGATTAAGGATAGCGGGGTTGTTGTTTCTTGCTGCCCCATACAGTGAGCAAGCAGCCATGGTCTGCACTAGCTTTGAGATGCTCTTCAAAGGAAGGCCTTTGTAGAGAGCATTGCAGTTACTTACCTTGGAGGCAGGTGGGAAGGTCTTTACCTTGAGAATGACATGAGCTCTGAGCATAGGAGGCCCAGGTGAGAGCTGGGAAGGAAGGCTGCTACAAGGCTCTGCCATCCAATGCATGCCAGTTAATTGTAGCTAGCTTCTGCAGAATAATGATTCCCCCTCTCCCAGGGGTAAAAACTGCCATTTTTTATGTTGAGTATTGTTCTCCTACTTAGTTTTAAGCTGTTAAAATAGGTTAGCTTATTTGTATTGTTACCTAGTAGGACATGCATTTATGTTCTGCCTTTATTGATAGGATGATTGTTTTCAATTACTCTTAATATGTATTTTTAATTATATTTATTATTGTTCATATGCCGTAAGATACTTTGGACACAGTTTTGTGGCCTACAAATAAACAGATGACTATGATAGCAACGTTTCAGAGCAGAAACTGGAGTCCTTGTCATGGGTCACTATAACCCTCTCAGGGCTTTGACTTAGTACAGAATCTACACCCAGTGGCGTCGCAACGGGGGCAGGGCCAGTACGCCCTGGGTTCCATGCCTGCAAGGGTGACAAGAAGTCACATTGCGGGGGCTGGTGGTGCCTTTGGAGGATCCTCCGTTCGTGGCTGCAGCCACGAGAAGAGGATCCCGGTGCCGGCAGCTACAAGCCCTTAGTTATCATATTTCACAATAGGCCAAATGTGCTGGGGCAGGGTAGGCCCACTTCATGAATTTCATTTTTAATTAATACTGAGGTCTTGTCCACAAGGGCAGCAAAGCAGTCTAAATATCTCTGTTATTATTTTGGTATGTACTGCAGTTAGAATCTCCTCTGAACTGAGTTCAAATTCAAAGAAGCCTTATGCAAGCAGCAATCCATGGAAATAAACACAATCTTGTTTGGGCCACCGGAAACAAAACCCTCAGTTTAAAAAGCAAATGGAAGTAGGGAGATGAAAGCTAGCCACAAAACCACCACCAAGCCAGTCCCCCAGTCCCACCATAAGAATATACTAGCAAGCCCCCACACCAGCAGTGACCAGAGTTGTATACTGGGCTCGTTTTACTTACTGGATCTTCCACGGAATGGGTAGGCTCGATTAAATGAATAAAAACTACAGGCTGACATTTTTTTGACAACAATATCATGCAGATAATGCAAAAAAACACACACCCAAACAAACAAACAAACAAACCCACAACCACCCACCCAAAAACATGCATGCATGAGTAGCTCCGATTCAAGAGTGAACTCCCACCTTGAGGCACCTCAGCAATAAGTGCAGTTTTTGGAAGTGGCAACACTACAAGACTAGCCTACCTGGTAACCATTCAAGCTAAGCCTGTCATTTACCGTTTAGCCATTGCTGCTGACGTCCTGGTGATATCCGACATCATCCCACTTATTGATGGTATCTTAGCAAGTCCTAGAAAAGAGAGGCAAAAGGGAAGAGGCAACGTTTTGAGGACCTGGATAAAGGCAGCTGGGAAATGTAATCAAGGGAGGCAAGAGGCCCTTTCTGGAAAGTCCTGAGGTCTCCTGCAACAAACCAGAATTGCTCCATCCTAGTCAGCAGGAATTCTCTTTTCATTTGAGAAATATCAGTCTAGATTCCCTGTGTGCATGACTAAAGCTGATATTTCTGAGCTTTCAGATAGATAAAGGGAGTTGGAATGCTGCTAGGTTTCAGGATCCCCAAGAAAATGTTACCTTCCCACCCCAATTTCTCTCTCCCCTTCCAGCCCCACTTAACATCCTGGTAATAAAGCAGGTGGGAGAGAATGAGTCTTTTTTCCTTTCACTCACCAGAAAGAAAAAGTGACAAATATCACACACCTACACCCATTATTACCATGCAGGGGGAAGGAAGACTTCCCTTTTCCTAAAGCTTTCTGGAAAACCTCTTAAAGAGATTGTTGACACATTGCTTCAAGGAGGCAGGAGGGTTGCTTTGCTTTCTTATTTTGAAATGAGCTGTTGGAGCCCCTTCATTTTAAGGCCATAAAAGAAATAAAAAAAACTCTCAGTTATTGCATAAAGTTAAGGTGGCAGCAAGCTCCGCCACCCCTCTCTCCAAACCTCTGGCCCCTAGGAGCCTCTCTGGGCCAGGCAGCACCCCATAGCAGTGCCCTCAAATCTGTCCCCCGAAATGTCACAGAGGCAAGCTCAAATAAAGGAGGCAGCTCCATGGTCAGCTCCCGTGAAGAAATACTACTCCCTCATCATTCAGCAAGGTCAAGTGACAGTAAATAGACCTGGTGCCATGAAATTAACACCTGCCGTGTCCAGACTTCCCAAATTTGCCAGTATAGCTCATTCCTTCAAACACAGGATTCCTGAGATCACCAGCAGCATGAAATGGAGCAGTTTGAAAGCTCTTACCCTTAAACACACGGGCTGCCCAGCGAGCCTGCAGCTCTGAAATGGGCATGATGGCACCCAGGGGTTGCACAAGGCCAATGATTGCTAGAGTAGGCTGCTCCAAGTGTGGGGGGAAGACAAATTTATACAGGGCGGTCTGGTTCTCAATGACTCTCACAGAGTTTCCCAGGAAGGGAAAAGAGAAACTGTATCCTGTGGCAAAGACAACAAAATCGATATCGTCTTCCTTAGAGCCATCTTCAAAGACAACAGCAGTTTCAGTAAATTCACAGATGTTTGGTTTCACCAGCACCTTCCCTGAAATGATGCAGTTTGGAAGCTCATCGTTGACGGTTGGATGTTGGCTGAAAACCCTGAAAGATACAAAAACACAAGGTCGAAGTCAGTGTCGTGGTCTTCCAGTCGTTCCATCGGCAGAAGCATTTCAGCTTGTCAGAGAGGCTTGCTCCCTGCCACATGCTGCTCTGGGACTTCTCCCAACCTCAAGCCAATTGCAGGGGCACATGGCGGTCGGAGCGGGGAAAGCCGTTGTGCAAGCAAAAGTGAAGGGCTTCTACTGACAGTGTTGGCTAGGTGAATTCTCAAAATAGCTATTTAATATTATTATTATTATTATTATTATTATTATTATTAAAGCATTTCTAAACTGTATAATATTTTCAAAATATGTAAGCAGTGCAAAGACTAAAGATCAACAACAAATTAAAATATTAAAATGGTATTATTATTATTATTATTATTATTCCTATACCACCCTTCATGAAAATCATAGGGTCATTTACAATTTAAAATATACAAAAAATATATAGCACAAAAATATATAGCATAATAACAAAAAAAACCAATACTGCCCTCTACATTTTAAAAGGCCACCGTTTGTTTAATTAGCCTGGAAGAGGAGGAATGTTTTTGCCTGGTGCCTAATTAACATATGAAGCAAGGGGCATGCATAATCTAAACCAGGGATAGGGAACCTCAGGTGATGTTGGATCCCACGGCTTCAGACAGAATGGCTAATGGTCAAGGATGCAATTCTATAAACTATATAAATACATATATAAATATAATATATCTCTTAAAAATAAGTTATTCCAATAAGAGCAGCACAGCAGCAGCCCTTTCATTGAAAGCAGTCAGTTCCCAAAGTCTGATGAAACAAGGTGGTCACATGCCAGCAGCAGGGACGCGGACTTATAAAAAATATTGGGGGGGCCCGGGAAAGCTCATGAATAATAAATAAGCTCATGAATATGCAAATAAAGTGGCGCCGCCTCCTCGTGAGCGAATAGGGGAGAGCGTGCTGCGCCTATTAATCAGCTCCAAAGGAAATTGGGTGGAGCTTTTGCTCGGGAGGGAGGGCAGGAGGCATGCAGCCCGCCCCTCCCTGTGCATTTTGGGCTGGGGGAGGGGCGGCGATGGCGCTCTGCTGGAGGGGCGCCCGAGATTATTGGGGGGGCGGAGCCCCCCCAAACGAATTTTTGAGGGGGCTCGGGCCCCCTCAAGGCCCCATGGAGTCGGCACCTATGGCCAGCAGAAGGACAACAAAGGGAGTCAGTCTGGGAGGAGCAGCCACATATTGTAGTGCATTATTATTAGCTGTTATGAGATTTTTATCCTTAAATTGTCCTCTGTGGTGGTGGTCGTGATAATTATTATTATTACTAATAACAATAATAATAATAATAATAATACCCCGCCCATCTGGCTGGGTTTCCCCAGCTGCTCTGGGCAGCTTCCAACAGGAGATTAAAAATACATTCAAACATCAGTCATTGAAAACTTCCCTAAACAGGGCTGCCTTCAGATGTCACGTCAGATAGTTCTTTATTTCTTTGACACCTGACATTTTCTGGAAAATGCAGTACTGTACAGTCGTACCTTGGAAGTCAAACGGAATCCGTTCTGGATGTATAGACATACATTGACTAATTAGCATATTGCTGAGCCATACCTGTGTTTAGGTTTCAGGCCATAATGAGAATGGTTGAATCTTGCATTTAAACGACTCTCCAACCAGTGATTCAGCATGGACATGGTTGCGCACTTCTTCCGTAACATGTTAAACCGAGTAGAAAGTACCACATCTGCTGGATAGCCTCCTTCCCCCACACGATTCAGTATCCATGCACCTCGGCGAGTGCTGAGAAAGACCTGGGTATGGGAAGACAATTATTTAACTAAGATGTCCATGTGATCTGTTCTTCATGAAGTTCCTTCTTCCACCTGCAACGTTCCCCAAAACTGCAGAACATTTTAGTTGGACATCACCTGTGAGATAGATGAAAATATCTGGACGCAGAGAGCAGAGGGTGCAGACCCTCTAAGTGTCCCTATTTTCCAGGGACAGTCCTGGATTTACAGAGCCATCCTAGTTTCTGATTTGATGCCAGAATGTCCCGCTTTTCCTTAGGACGCCCCTACTTTCATTGGAGCCAAGGAGATGAGTAACTATACAATATTATGCATTCAAGTCTATGAGTTATTGTGTATCCAGAATGTTGCAAAGTAGTTTAATATATTTGTTACTGAGTAAGCATCCGGCAGCCAGACAGATACTGTGAATAAGTTAATTATCAAGCTTCTTGAAACCAAATTTAAACTGACAGTATCTGTTTGGCTGTCGGATGCTTATTCAGTAATGCAAAATTCTGAATGCACAATTAACCCACATTAACTAACTGCCTATGCAATGGATGTTTTAGGCTGTCATATAGAAAACAGGGTAAAACACATTTTTAATGAACAAAAAAAAATGGCTACAAATTAAAAAAACTAAAATCTTCATCAAATGTGTAATCTATGGAAGAAACGACAAACAAATTTAAAATCTGGGTGATAACTTAAAAGCTCTTTTAAAAAGGCTTCATTGCAATTTTGAGAAAGAAAGCAAAAGATTAGAATCGTAGAAACGAGTTGGAAGGGACCCTGAGGGTCATCTAGTCCAACCCCCTGAATTGCTAGCTTAAAAATTAAATAAATTAAGAAGTTGAAGCTAAACATCTTATTACTTATTCAGAGGATCTGTCTGGGGATCTGAGTCAGAAAATAACAATGAGTCACAAAATTAATTAGCATTTGCACGTAAAAGGAAGTCACAGATATATGGCTTAACTTGGAGAAAACCATATCTAAAGACAAAACAGTATGAATTTAGTTAATGAATGTGCAAATGATAGAAGCAGTGCTGGTATCTCAATGCCACAAGGTTGGACTGAACGACCCTTGCGGTCCCTTCCAACTCCACGATTTTGGGATTCTGTGTATGTGATGATCAGCCCTGGAATTTATTTTCAGAAATTTGTGCAGCAATATTTAAGAATAGTGCCAACGCATGTGCAAAGTGCCTTCATCACTAAAAGTGCGACAATACACAGAATTAAAGAGCAGGCATTACAGGGAACATGAGATCTTCCTCTGGGAGGTGGCGTGGGAACACTGCTTGAAGCCAAGTACTGCCCCAATTTTGTCTGATATCAGTTTTGGGCCCCAGCTGAAGGGGCCTCAGACATGAGACCCCCACCCTCCACCCCATGGGCCAGCTGAAAATTGCTGAGGGCCTTCCTTGATGGACTAGTTACTTTTCTGCGTGTTGTAGCAATTACAATGCATTGTGCTAGATGCCTTTATTTATTAAATATTAAGATATTACAAATCTAAGAAATAAAGAAGACAAAGAAATACAATTAAAACTCAGTTTGAGTATTTAATGTACAGGCAGCCCCTGTTTATGTGTGTTCAGTGCATGTGCAACAGTATATATGCTTATTGTGCCACCAAACCAGGAAGTGACCTGGAAATGTCATAAAGACGTCACTGAAACATCACTAAAAGGGTGGAAAGGGGGCAGGGTGGGGGACTTGTGGGCTTTTTCAGTGGGTTTCAATTTTACATGATTTCACTGATGTGTGCAGCACCTTGGAACGTTGTCAACCCTGCGTAAACGGGGGGCTGCCCGTAATGTATGTGGGGTCTCCTGGCTTCAACCGCAAATCCACAGACATGCTGAATGAAGCTCGTGGAGCACAGTTTGGGAGCCCCCCTGCTCTAAAAAAACATTTTCCCCTCTCCTTGCCAGCAAGTGAAGCCAGCAAGTGAAAAGAGCTTGAATCCAAGCACCTCCTCCCTCTTCCCAGAGCCTAGCCTTTGGGCATCCTTTTTGCAACTACCCACTTTCCCCTGGCAGCATGAGTGACAATTGAGACATCATCTGCCTGCCTTCCACAGCCTCTCCTTCCAACCAGCTAGAGCTCTCTCTCTCCAGGGATGCTGTTCCCTGCCTTCTGCACCTCCCAGGGGTCCCTAGAGATGGGGGCCTGCCTCAGTGCCCATCTTCTGTCACAAGAGAGCCGGCAGTCAATCATGCTGTGCAAGCTGGAGCTAACTCTTTCTTAGCCAAACCACAATCCGCCGGGACATGGTGGAGTGTCAGGCCTAATAAACACAGCAACTCATTCCTGGCAGGTCTTGTCCCCATGCAAAAGTTACCAAGACAAAAAGTCCCTGCCTCCCTGCAGCCCAGGGCTTTCCCCAAGCAATCGATCGGAGACTGCTCCTCCATTTCATGCCTCTCCTGGTTGTTGGAGGGGAGCTTGTTGCCGCACGACTGACTCCTCTCTGCCTCTTGGCCTCCCTCATCCCAGTCTCCTGCTTCAGCTCCTGCCTCTGATTTGTTGGTCTAGCTCTTTTTCGCTGCTCTCAGACCATTTCTGTAACCAATCCCGATCCAGAGCTTGCAGGGCAGCAGCTGAAGGAGGAGCAAAAGGGTTTTCTTGTGTGTGTGTTTCTTTGTGGCTGATTAGCTGCTCTCCCTGTGCAAAGGTCAGAGGGGGCAGGGCTTCTGTTGAGTCAGGTGGTTAGCTGTGGGAGGAGCTTATCAGAGCTTGCAGGGCAGTTTGATCCATCTTTTAGATTTAGGGGAGCTAGTCTCAAACGTTTGTTGGTTTTTGGGGGGGGGTATTTGTCCTGTCTTCACGCTTTTTAAGATGGAGGACCACTGTAGCCACCCCCAACGACACATTTTCAAGATGGAGGGTGAGGGAACAGCTGCAGTCGCCTGTGGTTCCTGCGCAATGTTTGCCATCTTGCCAAAGGTTGCAGGCAGCTTTACCTGCAGCAATTGTATGTTGATTGCCCTCTTAGAAGACAAAGTCCAGCAACTGGAGGAACGTGTAGCTATGCTCCAAAGAATTAGAGCTCTTCTTGGAAGCAACAGAGAACACCGTCTCCACCAAGGAGGAGACAGGGGACTCCCCTGAGAAGGTGGCTAGTTCACCAACACAGGAGCCAGATATATGGAGAAACGTGACTCAAAGAAGTAGGAGGCCCAGGGTTCGCTCTGATTGTTTAGAAATACACCATCGCTTTGAAGTCCTCTCCCCTAGCATGGAAGACGAAGAACAGACTCCATTTGAGGATCTCTCCCTCATTACAGTCGATCAGGTATATGAAGACGAGCAGCAAAGTCAGTCCTCAGGGAATGTGCAGGCGACCTTGGAACAGACAGCTCACAGAAGAACCCCGACCAAACCTAAGAGGAGGCGTGTAGTGGTGATAGGGGATTCCCTACTGAGGGGAACAGAAGCAGTGATCTGTGGGCCTGACAAGATGTCTCGGGAGGTGTGCTGTCTCCCCGGGGCTAAGATCCAAGATGTAACTGAACGACTGCAAGGAATCATAAAACCCACTGACAAATACCCCTTCCTCTTGGTTCATGTGGGAACCAATGACACTGCAAGCAATAGCCTCCAGAAGATCAAAAGAGACTACGAGGCTCTGGGCAGGAAATTGAAGCAATTAACTGTACAAATTGTCATCTCATCTGTCCTCCCAGTTGAACGACGTGGCCCAGGGAGAGAGGGAAAAATAGTGGAAGTGAACAGCTGGCTTCGCAAATGGTGTAAACAGGAACGGTTTGAATTCTTAGATCACGGACTGCAGTTTCTTGAAGATGGACTTCTGGCAAGCGATGGGCTGCACCTCACAACAGTTGGGAGAAATGTTTTTGCCAAAAATCTCAGAAACCTCATCATGAGGGCTTTAAACTGACTAATGTGGGGAAGGGAGACAGTGCTCCTGAAGGTAGGAGTCTATCAATTGATGAAGATGATCATCCAAATGTCATAGACCAAATGGAGCAAACAGCACGCAGACCTACTGGTGGGAGGAAAAAATCATAAATAAGAGACACGGGGGAATGATTAATGGACTTCAATGTCTGTACACTAATGCGCAAAGCATGGGAAATAAACAAGATGAGCTTGAGCTCTTGGTACAGCAAACTAAATATGACATAATAGGCATCACTGAAACCTGGTGGGATAAGTCCCACGATTGGAATGTAATAATGGAGGGATACAATCTATTTCAGAGAAACAGACCAGACAAGAAAGGAGGAGGAGTGGCGTTATATGTCAGGGATGTGTATACCTGTGAAGAGATCCAAGATTTAGAACCTCAAAGCCAAAGTGAGAGCATTTGGGTCAAAATTAAGGGAGAGAAGAATAACAGAGACCTCATTGTAGGAGTTTACTATAGATCCCCAAGCCAAACGGAGGACATAGATGATGCCTTCCTGGAACAGATGGCCAAGCGTGCAAAAGGAAGGGAGATAGTAGTAACGGGGGACTTCAATTACCCGGATATTTGTTGGATGTTTCCTCACTGGCCTTGCAGACAACTTCATTGTCCAAAAAGTAGGAGAAGCAACAAGAGGAACAGCTATTTTAGATCTGGTCCTAACCAATGTTGAGGACCTGGTTAGTGGGGTAGAAGTGGAAGGATCATTAGGCGCGAGTGATCATGCTCTTCTGAAGTTTACTATACAGCAGAAAGGAGCAGCCAAGCATACTAGGACTCAATTTCTTGACTTTAAGAAAGCCGACTTCATAAAACTTAGGGAAGTGCTGGGTGAGATCCCATGGACAGTAATACTAAAAGGAAAGTGAGTTCATGATGGCTGGGAGTTTGTTAAGAGGGAGATAGTAAAAGCACAACTTCAGGCAATACCAATGAGACGGAAACATGGAAGGTGCCTAAAGAAGCCAGGGTGGCTATCTAAAGAACTTTTAACTGAGTTAAGATTAAAAAAGGATGTGTACAAAAAATGGAAAAGGGGGGAAACCACCAAAGAGGAATTCAAACAAATAGCCAGCACATGTAGACACAAAGTCAGAAAAGCTAAAGCACAGAATGAACTCAGGCTTGCTAGAGACGTTAAAAGCAACAAAAAAGGCTTTTATGGGTGTGTCCGTAGCAAAAGGAAGAACAAAGAAACAGTGGGGTCACTCAGAGGAGAAGATGGTGAAATGCAAACAGGGGACACAGAAAGGGCTGAACTTCTCAATGCCTTCTTTGCCTCAGTCTTCTCCGATAAAGAAAACAATGCCCGACCTGAAGAATTTGGAGCAAATGATTCAGCAGAGGAAACACAGCCCAGAATAACTAAGGAGATAGTACAAGAATACTTGGCTAGTTTAGATGTATTCAAGTCTCCAGGGCCAGATGAACTGCATCCAAGAGTATTAAAAGAACTGGCAGATGTGATCTCAGAACCACTGGCAGTCATCTTTGAGAATTCCTGGAGAACAGGCGAAGTCCCGGTAGACTGGAGGAGGGCAAATGTTGTCCCTATTTTCAAAAAGGGGGAAAGAGAGGACCCAAATAATTATCACCCAGTCAGTCTGACATCAATACCAGGGAAGATTCTGGAGCAGATCATTAAGCAAACAGTCTGTGAGCACCTAGAAAGGAATGCTGTGATCACCAATATCAGCATGGATTTCTGAAAAATAAGTCATGTCAAACTAACCTGATCTCGTTTTTTGACAGAATTACAAGCCTGGTAGATGAAGGGAACGCAGATGATGTAGCCTACCTTGATCTCAGCAAGGCATTCGACAAGGTGCCCCATGATATTCTTGTAAAGAAGCTGGTAAAATGCGGTCTTGACTATGCTACCACTCAGTGGATTTGTAACTGGCTGACTGACCGAACCCAAAGGGTTCCTCTTCATCCTGGAGAAGAGTGACTAGTGGGGTGCCACAGGGTTCTGTCTTGGGCCCGGTCTTATTCAACATCTTTATCAACGACTTGGATGATGGACTCAAGGGCATCCTGATCAAATTTGCAGGGGAGGCTAACTGGGAGGGGTGGCTAACACCCCAGAGGACAGGATCACACTTCAAAACGACCTTGACAGATTAGAGAACTGGGCCAAAACAAACAAGATGAACTTTAACAGGGAGAAATGTAAAGTATTGCACTTGGGCAAAAAAAATGAGAGGCACAAATACAAGATGGGGGACACCTGGCTTGAGAGCAGTACATGTGAAAAGGATCTAGGAGTCTTGGTTGACCACAAACTTGACATGAGCCAACAGTGTGATGCGGCAGCTAAAAAAGCCAATGCAATTCTGGGCTGCATCAATAGGAGTATAAGCATCTAGATCAAGGGAAGTACCGTATTTTTCGCTCCATTGGACGCACCCAGTGGCGTAGCGTGGGGGGTGCCAGGGGGGCCGGCCGCACCGGGCGCAACATGGGCGGGGGGCGCGCTCGCACTAGCAGCTCTCTGCCCCTACTAAAATCCACGGGTTAGGGAGCCCGCGCTCGCTCGGCTTGGCGAGGAGGTCGCGGAAGGGGGAGAGCGAAGCCTTCTGCCGCGGGCAAAAAAAGGAGAGGAAGCCGGGCGGGCGGGCGGGCTGGCGGGGGTCTGGCTGCGCCTGCTGCTGCCGTTGCCGCTGCTGCCGGGCTTTGACAGCTTGGCGAAGCAGAGGGAGAGGAGCTTTATGGTAATTGCAGCTCTCTCTCCACTGGCCGCCTGGGTAGTGAGCCGAGCCGAGCAGGGAGTCTGGCGAGGGGGCGGGAAGAGACTTCCCCCCCCTTTTTTCCACCTCGCCTGGTCAAAAAGGAGAGCGGAGTCTCCTCAGGGCGCCCTCAGGCAGGGCAGGGCAAGCAGAGCGAGGAGGAGAGAGAGGGGAAGGGGGGGAGCAGCCAGGAAACGCCGTAGTGTGGAGGAGGAATCAATTAAGGAGAGAAAGCGAAAAGCCTTGGAGAAAGGGAAAAAAGGAAAGAAAAGAGGCAGCTCCAGGAGAGCGCGGGGGAAAGAGAAGCCTCGCTGCTGCTGCTGCTTGGGAGAGTAAATTACTGTACTTGCCTTGCCCCGGGTTAGGGGGCGCAAATTACTTGCCTTGCCCCGGGTGCTGATAACCCACGCTACGCCGCTGGACGCACCGGACCATAGGACGCACCGGACCACAGGAGGGGGAGAACAGGGGGGGGGATTTTCTTGTTCTCCCCCTCTAAAACAAGGTGCGTTCAAGGTACATTCACCCAGGCTTGTGGGGCTGGTGGTGGGGGGAAGCGCTGCTTTCCCGCACCGCCAGCCTCAAAGATCCCTGAAGCCTTTGGAGCGCAGCGCCCGCTGCCCTGGAGAGGCTGTGCGCACAGCCATCCGCAAGCTAGAACAGCCTTGCAGCTTCTGCAGGACAGCGGGGTGATGGCACCCCGCTGCCCTGGAGAGGCTGTGCGCGCAGAAATCCCCAAGCTAGAACAGCGAGACGGAGCGCTCCGCAGTGCTCCGTCTCCCTGTTCTGTCTTTGGGCTTAGCAGCGCAGCCTGCATTCGCTCTATAGGACGCACACACATTTCCCCTTAATTTTTGGAGGGGAAAAAGTGTGTTCTATAGAACGAAAAATACGGTAATAGTGCCACTGTATTCTGCTCTGGTCAGACCTCACCTGGAGTACTGTGTCCAGTTCTGGGCACCACAGTTCAAGAAGGACATTGACAAACTGGAATGTGTCCAGAGGAGGGCAACCAAAATGGTCAAAGGTCTGGAAATGATGCCTTATGAGGAACGGCTAAGGGAGCTGGGCATGTTTAGCCTGGAGAAGAGGAGGTTAAGGGGTGATATGATAGCCATGTTCAAATATATAAAAGGATGTCATATAGAGGAGGGAGAAAGGTTGTTTTCTGCTGCCCCAGAGAAGCGGACACGGAGCAATGGATCCAAACTACAAGAAAGAAGATTCCACCTAAACATTAGGAAGAACTTCCTGACAGTAAGAGCTGTTCGACAGTGGAATTTGCTGCCAAGGAGTGTGGTGGAGTCTCCTTCTTTGGAGGTCTTTAAGCAGAGGCTTGACAACCATATGTCAGGAGTGCTCTGATGGTGTTTCCTGCTTGGCAGGGGGTTGGACTCGATGGCCGTTGTGGTCTATTCCAACTCTATGATTCTATGATTCTATGATCCCTTCCACTGGCATTCTGCTACTACATCTTTGATACACTCTGGGGCTGCTACACCAGGCAAAACCATCACAATATAGAACTGTCCTGAGATCTACGGGTAGAGGGTGAGATACAAATTTAACCAATAATAAATAATAGTAGCCAGACCTGTTGTGCCGAGCGACTTATCTCCACAGCAAGGTCCCCGCCTGAGTTCCCAATGCCAATCACAATTACTCTTTTCCCAGCAAACTCAGCTGGGCTCTTGTAATCACGACTGTGAAAGTAGCGACCTTTGAACTTTTCAATTCCTGTAAGTGAAGAGCAAAATTCTTCAGGCTCAGGTAGTGTGGATGCGTCTTGTACATGAGATCTGGCACTGTCGTTTTCTGCTGGTATGAAACTGGTAAACTCTGTAGTTGCAACACTAACTGCACTAAGGGCTGTGGACATATTTTGAAGAGCAAAAACGAGGACACATTTGCTGAGTTCTACTTTGAACTATGGATCTCTATGATGGCTCTACCCATGAAAAAGAGGACATGTCCTGGAAAAAGAGGACATATGGCAACCAATCTGGACAAATTTTATTCCTTGCTCCCCCTGAATTCTCTCACAATATCTTTCCAAACCACATTTGCAAAACTAGTTCAGTTTTGTGAGCCTAAACTTTTAAGCAAATGTACTTTCTATACTGTTCTAGGAAGGGGAAAAAATAACTTTTATGCTAGTGAAGTAATCTTTTTTGATTGGAAAACTTGCTTTTTATGACATACACACAGGTTGCTCTTTGGTTTTTAATGCTTTGTTGCTTATTTTAGCACTTATCCCCCTCCCTAGTCTGATCAACTCAAGGCCAGTGTGAGAGAAGACGCTTTTCATGCAAAAGGCCCCAAGTTCAACCTCAACATCTCCTGGTACAGCTGGGGAAAGGCAATGGAACTGCAGAACTGCTGCCAGTCCATTTTGACGATACAGAGCTGGATGGATCCATGGCCAGACTCATTATAAGTCAGCTTCCAATGTTCCCATGGAACTACGGAAAGAACTGCTGCACCAGTGTGATACAGCTGTGCCAGTGTGATGCTTTGAAACTCAGTGGCTGAAATGAACAACCTGTTCTCTGTCTAAGCACTACTTACTACACAGAGTTGTGGGGAGAATAACTGTGGGATAACAAATACACAACACTGCACACTGGAAAAGGCTATAGAAATGAGTAGCAAGTTAAACATAAAGGAAGAACTTAGCTTATTTTAAGAGAGAGAGAGAGAGAGAGAGAGAGAGAGAGAGAGAGAGAGAGAGAGAGAGAAATGCAGTTACAGGATTGGTTCCTTGGTAAGACGGACACTGCCATGTGGTTTTCTCTGCTGAGCACCTTTATGTAAGTGCCAGTGCCCAAAACAGCATGAGCTGTGGGAAGCTCAGGCAAGTGAGACATGGCAAGGGGAGCATGCACATTTCCATACTAGAGGCAACGACTGAGGGGTGGCAAACCCTGAAGCAGTCACAAAATGTCATAAAAACGTCATGAGAAGGGGCAGGAGCAGAGTGGTCTTACGTGTGCTCAGCTGGCGCACGCGGGGGTCCGTAACCCCCTTGCAAAACAAGGATTGCCTGTAACATCTGCCTGCAATGGCTCCGTCGCTCCCCTTCGCACCTACAGAGCGTACCTGGGAAGGAGTTCAGCGGCAGATGTGCATTTGTGTGATGCCCAGTGCAAACCAGGATTGCATCAAAGACGGATGATTCTTCTTTTCCACCCGTCTCTGTGACAACATCCCATTGGCCAGTGCTAGAGAAATCTGGGCGCCTTTTTACACTGCACACCTTAGTCTGGAAAGAAAAAAGTCAGCAAGAGAATGATGAAGGATTTATTTCTGTGATATTAATGTATATGGTACAAAATACATATCAGAAGACACCTAAGGGCTGCGGTCTTAAACCTACACGCTTGAAATGAAAATAAATGCTTCCAAATAAATCTGATTGGGACCAGACCTTAGATTATTCCATGTTGAGCAAATTCTTTTCTGGGGGTACTCAGGGGTACGCAGCACCGACACCCCCACACCGCCAATGAAAAGCATTGGTTAAAAGTGTGGCACTGACTATTACAACTTCGTAGTAAGTACTGACACCTTTTCTTTTTCTGGAAGAAAAGCACCACCCACAACCCTTGTTGAATCTCAAGGGTAAATTTCAATTCCTCCAAGAAATAGATGAATTTTACAGCATGCTAGAATAAGTACAGTGGTACCTCGGGTTAAGAACTTAATTCTGAAGCGTATGTAACCCGAGGTACCACTGTATTTTGTTTATTTATTCAAACATTTCCATTGCATCTTTCTTCCTTTTGGGAACCCCCAGCAGCAGCAGCAGCAGCACATGCACAATAGATTTGACAAAACAACAGTGGGTGAAATTGGTGGAGGAGACTAAAAAGAGTGAGGTTATCTCTTTGGGATTAAGGCTGGTTGCTTGTCTGAGCTGCTTGGTGGCTTGGCTGTGGGTGTGGCTGCATGCTACTGCCAAGAGGAAGCCAGGCTGAAGAAGGGAGGGAGTGGGCAGAGGGGTTATCAGCCAGCAGCAGGTAGACTTGGCTGATAGAAGCTTCTGAGAGCTTGCAAATAAACAGGAGTGTTGGAGAGGACATTTGGAAGAGAAGGCCCAGAGTGCCATCTCACGGTGTCTGTAGGACTAAGAGACATGGATGACGAGGGGGCTACTGAAGTGACCAGCAACGCCTGTGCCATGTTCGTCTTTCTGCCTCAGAATGTGCAAAACTACACCTGCAGCAAGTGCAAGCTGGCTGCCTCGCTGGAAGAGAAGGTACAGCAACTTGAGGCCAGCCAAGTCACCCTTCAAATTACTGGGCAAGATGATGGCTTTCTGGATAGAGCTGAGTGGACTGTCCTGGAAGAGCAACTACAGAGGAGGAAGATCGCCCGTTGCAGGAGACAAACTCCTGGAGGAACTTCGCTCACAGAAGCAGTACTGTCAGAAGCCATGCTGTGTCACTGGAGCTGCAAAATTAATTCCTTGCGCTCACCTCAGACACAGACACTGGGCCAGAGGATCAAGAACATAAGTTGCAGAGCTTAGAACACTCTGAGGTGGTTTTGGAAGGCACTGTGTATGGAATGATTCCTGCCGCTCCCCAGAGGAGGAAGGGACTTGGGTTGGTGGAAGGGGACTCCTTACTGAGGGGGACAGAGGCAGCAGTGTGCAGAGGTAACAGGATGGCCTGGGTGCAACAATTCAAGGACAGAGAAGTTGCCAAGGCTTATAAAGCCCACTGGTCACAACCCCTCCCTTCTGATCCACGTGCCTTCAAATGATACTGCCAGACACAGCCCTTGATGTATAGCGAGGAACTATGAGACTCTGGACTGGAAGCTCAAGGACCATGGGGCACGGAGGTTGTTTCCAGCACTCTTTCCTGATGAAAGTCGTGGCCCAGGGAGGAGGAAAATACTGGCAGTAAACCACTGGCTGCACAGGGGATGTTGTCAGGAAAGGTTTGGCTTCTTCTCCGCTTTCTTGAGTAAGGACTTCTGGCAAGAGATAGGTTACACCTCACAGCAGTTGGCAAGAATGTGTTTGCTAAGCATCTTGCTGAGCCACTCAGTCAGAACTTTGTATGGTTCATTCAAGCAAAATGATTGCAAGTGAAAAAACCATGCCATTTTTGCAACGTTACAGACGAGTCCTGTGTTTTAGCTTAGCTCTGTGTAAGCTGGCATCAATTAGTCCTGTTTATCAACTGTTTAGCAAAGCAGTTTTTAAGCTGTCCTCTTGGAGTCTGCAGAGGTGCACGGTTGACAGGAAGGCATGTAACCGAGTGAATAACTGCATGAGGGATCCACTCACACCTTCTATAGCCTCTTGTTTCACTAAACCCTTGTGACCCTTCTCCCTAGACAGGTTGTCTCCTGCCTTCTGCTCTCCACTGGCTCCACCCCATCTTCAATGGTTGCTAGAGATGGAAGAAGACAGAGTTTTGGTGTCCCCCTTCTCTCCCACAAATAAAGATTGCAAGCTTTTCATCATTAAAAAATTCTGCTGTGACAAAGCAAAAAGAAAAAGAAAAAGTGGTCTACAAAAAAGCAAACACAGATTGATCAGGAAAGGCTGAAAAGAGCTGAAGAAACACACTCTCAACTTCCTTCCACCTAAAAGAAGGATGGGGAACCTGCAGCCACAGGCCAATCTCAGGCTGCCAGGAGGTCCAATGTGACCCTGTGAGGCCACTTCCCCCAAACCACAGCTGGTGCTGTCAGCTGATGAGCAGGAGGACAGAGTATAATTCTGCATCGGGTAGCCAAGACAGCAGGATTTAATCCCCAATCTTTTTTTGTTTTTGGCATCATTTTTGTTTTTCTTCAATGTCCTCCCTGTTGACTGAATGCTCTGCTTATGGCAAGAGAGAACATGAGAGAGGCCACTTGGACCAACTACTCATAGTATATTGTATAGTATATTGTCAAGAACTCTTCTGCCCAGAATTTGCTCTTCCAAACCTAGAAACACCCCAGAACACAGCTGCTCTGTCCTACTCTTCTTACCCTGAAACGGATATATTTCAGAAGATCAAAGTGCTTGGCGTACATTCGGAAATAATCCATAATCTTGGAGTTGTGCATGTAGTTGGGGAAGTCGTCTGGGATGGGGAAGTCGCTGAAGCACATCATCTCCTTGGAGGTGTTGATGATGACAGATCTATAGATGCTGGCCCGTCCCTCCTCAGGATTCTCCTGCAGGAAGCATAATTTTAAGAGGGTGAGGTTGTGCTCATTTCGTATACAGTCATACCTCGGGTTAAAGTTGCTTCAGGCTGAGGGTTTTCGGGTTGTGCTCTGCGGCGACCCGGAAGTAACGGAACATGTTACTTCCGGGTTTTGGCACATGTGCAGATGCTCAAAATGACGTCACACACATTCACAGAAGCAGTGAATTGCTACCCGCACACGCGCAGACGCAGGTTGCGTTCGCTTCAGAATGAGAACGGGGCTCCAGAATGGATCCTGTTCGCATCCAGAGGTACCACTGTATGTCACTTAGGGTTGTTTTCTTTGAAAGGCAAATTATAAAGGCAATTATAATATTGTTTGAGGCACTTGCTTCTCCAATCACTGGGAAATCTAGGCTAGGCCTAAACAGGATCAATTTCCTTAGTGGAAGAAAACACTGGAGAGTTGCAATACACATGTTAAAACTGTTTGAAAAGTACTGCAAGGGCAGAGACAGACATACATGAGGCACTACTTTCAGAGAAACCATGAATTGGAATACCATGAATTAGCTCATCCTCAAAAATTATATTGTGCAAGTCAAACTGCAGAAAAGGTGCGTGGCAAACTCAGGTGTTCTATCTGTGTGAGCTACTGATGCACAACAAGAAACAGCCCACACATCACGTCACACACGACCTGCCAGTATTTAGTGCTTCGTTTGAGCTTGGGAGCAGCAGCAAAGGCAGATCCAGAAAAACTGGATATTGGAGGAGCTGCCTCCTTAGACAGGCATCCAACTTGCTGGCCCTGCATTCAGTTAGGCTGAGCATGGTCAATCTTTCCTTCCTGTGACCAAGAACTTCTTTTCGCAGGTTAAAGCTTCCATTTTCCCATCACAGTTTCTGCTCCTTTCCTGCACCTAGGTTTTTAGCAGTTGTTGTTACAAATCCCCACTGACAGAATCCTCAGCAAGAAAAACATTAACATTTATGAAATGATCTGGCTTACCTTGAACCTCCAGAGCCCCCCAATGTCTTCACTGCTCTCAAAGCATGTAGGATCTAGACCCTCATCTAAACAGCACTTGATGCTACAAAGTCCACTGGAGCCACCTCCTATAATTGCCACTCTCTTCTTTGCCATGGCTGGTTTCCCAATTTCAGGAATGTTAGAGCTAGGCTAGGAGGAGAAAGAGATACTTATTTCCATAAAGTTCACACTCTTGCACCTTCAATAATCCAGGCACACATATCTCCCTTAACTTGTTTTGCAATTCCCAAAATGGTACCTGACCAGATCTGTACCTTTCCTTTGAAATTGGTTTAAACCCAAAAAAGGAACAAAATTGCATATATTAGGGGGAAGTGTACATTAAAAGCCATATATTAAATTTTTTAAAAATAGCATACAAAATGAATTGTATTAGTCAAAATTGTTTGCAAAGTGTGTCTATGAGGAAATTGCACTGGTGTGAAGGTAAATGAGTCAAATGTAGGTTTTTCTCAGGAAGCTGCAGAATACAGATGGATTGTGGCTGATGTCATTTGTGCACAGCTTCAAACACCAGCAGCAGGAGTGCAGTGGAGAGTTGAGCAAACGGTAAACACTGTAAAGAATCTTAAATACAGCACTCATATCCACTTTTTAGTGCTGACTGTTCCTTGTGTTCATGCTTTCACAGCTGATCTGTGTGCAGTTCCCGGCAGCCTGGAGGCTCAGTTGTGCCTTGGCCAAGAGGAGAACATTTGTGCTTCAGTCACTGTGGGAAAGCCTTAGGAAGAATCCACCTTGGGGAAACGTATGGTGTTTTGTGTGTGTGTGGAGGAATTATTTGCCTATGAATGTTGTTTGATGAACATGACGGTGGGGCATCAAGGCTTACTGGTGAAGCAGGGGGCCTCCTTCCTATAGCAGAAGGGCCAGTGGGGTCATGGAAATGGGCACCAATATCGTAAGAGGTTCACCGTAGATGAAAGGAAGGGATATCAGGATGCCTGCAAGGCTTGAGAGGCTTTTCAATAGGGGCTTCTGCCAGGATTGTGAAAGAAAGCCATGCACAACAAGCTGGAAGTGGTTCCTATGGGAGGGAGCCCTTTGGCCTCCCCCCCACCGCACGACCCACCAAGTGTAGCTCAGGTTGGCCAGTAACCATGCCAGGGGAATTGCAGGGGGCTGTGCATGCCAGTCTCCCTGAGCATCTCATGGGGAGGGATCAGAAGTACCCTCTCCATCCTGGTCTTAGCTGGTGTGTGCATATGTCATGCTCTTTCAACAACACTATGACCGATTTAATCCCATTTGTTGTTGCCCAACACATTCCTTCTTTCATGACAGGCAAAGTATGCCGACAGCACTAAACAGTGATGAATATCCATTTCAGGCACTAGCTGACTTGTCACCTGGATCTCTGAACCTTCCCCATGGCATTTCGAGAGATAATTATTTCAACCAGGCAGGTCTGACCAGCATGTCCACAAAATAAATACATCCATGATCTCTGAACTCCTCCCTCAGTGAAGATAAACTTTACTTTATTTCTCTTCTAGTTCAAACCAGCAACGATTTCTGCACCAGGAAGCCACAAAATCCCCCTGCAGGCAAGATACCAAAGGTAGTCATTGATGTCATTTTCTCTTGTTGACTTTCCCCATCAGAAAGGTCTTTCAGCAGCCATATTTTTACCATGTTTCAAAAGGTAAAACATGTGTTTAAGAGGGAAATTGTTAGTACTCATTAAAGATTCCTCATCATCCTGGGAAAAAGTGACAAGTGGGGTGTCACAGGGTTCTGTCTTGGGCTCATTGTTGTTCAATGTCTTTATAAGTGACTTGGATGAAGGAATTGAGGGAATGCTCCTCAAATTTGCAGATGACACCAAACTGGGAGGAGTAGCTAATGCTGCAGAAGACAGAATCGGAATTCAAAATGACCTTAACAGATTGGAGAACTGGGTGCAAGCTAACAAAATGAATGTCAATAGGGAGAAATGTCAGGTTCTACACTTAGGCAGAAAGTACCAGATGCACAAATATAACATGGGAGACACCTGGCTTACTAGCAGTTCATGTGAAAAGGGTTTAGGGTGGACCACAAGCTTCACATGAGTCCACAGTGTGATGCAGCAGCAAAAAAGGCTAACACTATTCTAGGCTGCGTCAACAGATGTCTAGTATCCAGATCAAGGAAAGTAATAGTACCACTCGATTCTGCCTTGGTCAGACCACACCTGGAATGCTCTGTCCAATTCTGGGCACCACAATCTAAGAAGGATGGTGACAAGCTGAAACATGTGCAGAGGGGGGCAACCAAGATGATAGAGACTGACAGGAGATATGATAGTCATTTTCAAATATCTTAAGGGCTGTCACATGGAAGGGGGAGCAAGCTTGTTTTCTCCTGCTCTGGAGGGTAGGACTCAAGGCAATGGCTTCAAATGACAAGCAAGGAGATTCCAACTAAACATCTGGAAAAACTTTTTGACAGTAAGAGCTGTTTGGCAGTGGGACAGTCTCCCTTGAGAGGTTGTGGGCTCTCCTTCCTTGGAGGTTTTTATGCAGAGGTTGGATGGCCATCTGTCAGGGATGCTGTAGTTGCGATGCCTGCATCACAGAGGGTTGGACCAGCTGAGCTGCTTGGGATCCCCTCCCACACTACAATTCTATGATTCTATGACTCCTTTCCCCTTATACCCCACCTTTCCTCCAAAGTGCTCAAGGTGGCCCTCCTGGTTTCCCATTTCCCATGTTATCCTCACAATGACCCTGTGAGGTAGGTGAGGCTGAGAGACAATGACTGGCCAAAGGCCTCACTTGAGGGCCAAGCCGTGGTTTTTACCCTGTTCTCCCAGATCCAATAAATGTCCCACAATGTTACTCCATATTCTGGAAAGTAGGTCTAGAAGTGAAGAAGCAGGAGGGCCTTTTCTCATCGCTCTGGACGTTTATGGCGACCCTTGTTAACAGTTCTGGGTGGCAACTTTCCCCTTTCCACCACCCCTGCCTAGGAGGTTTTTAAGCAGAGGTTGGATGACCATCTGTCAGGGATGCTTCAGCTGAGATTCCTGCATTGCAGGGGGTTGGGCTAGATGACCCTTGGGGTCCCTTCTGACCACAATTCTGATTCTATGATTAGCATAAATGATGCCTCTGTCAGACTTCACCAGGTCTCAGAACTGACTAGGTCCATAAACATGTAAAGTTATAGCAAGTGGGCCTTCAGACATGTTCTTTTTTTTATTATGGCCAGCCTCCATGCATCACCTCAGGCGCTGCCTGGAACAGGAGCCCTCAACCAAGGTACCTCACTTTTGGTAAATGAAAAGTTACACCTGTGTCCTGATATTCATAACAACGGAGCTTCTTCAACTATGAGCCAGAAGCCCCAGCTCAAATCTCACCCTCCACTGTGAGCTCAACTGCCATGGCTTTGACAAGCTGTTATCTTTCAGCCCCAGGCTGTATTATCCATGCTGCAGTATGGATTCCAGCCAGACCTTTGCATGCCTTGTCTCTATGCAGATGGTTTGGTTAACGTCCAGGCCATATTTTCTTGCAAGAGAAGCAAATCATGGAACGGTCTAGAGAGAGACTCTCTACAACTAAGAGGGATGGATCCAGTGGGTTTACAAACCACCTCTGCCACTAAGTGACGGGGAAGAAACTATACTTTCTCATCCTCCCTTTTTTATTAGCAAAATTTTAATAACCTACCTCACAAGATTAGTATGAGGATTGTAGAACATTCTATGCACTCCTCTAGAAATTGTAATATAGGTAAAAGCAGGCACAGGCAGACTCGTCCCTCCAAGATGTTTTGGGACTACAACTCCGATCATCCCTGGCTAACAGGACCAGTGGCCAGTGATTATGGGAATTGTAGTCCCAAAACATCTGAGGGCTGAGTTTGCCTATGCCTGGGTAAAAGCAATACTCAGTTATTCCTTTCAATAAAAAACCAGTGATTTCATAACGGGATATTACACTTAGGAAACTTATTAAAGAGGATATCCTGACACTAATTCCTTAGTGATTTGGTCTTCTCCATTCCTCACATTCATTTTTGAAAGTAAGCTATTTTAGTTGTTCTTGCTGCTTCGTAAGTTCCTGTGCTTTTACTCCAGTGAAACCAGCAGGTGTGCTGTTAAACTCGTCCAGATCCCTTTCAACATTTCATAGGCCATTTTATCCTTCAAGTCTGTCCTTTACAAAGACCCTGATACCTTCTGATGACTAGAAATATGACATTCACCTGCTCTAAACAACTGTAACTGGTATACCTGACAACAACTTAATATTTGCAGACTGAAAGCTATACAACAGACCTGTGAAGACTGCAGATGTGATGAGGCAATAGCCCAAGGATTCACCGTACTGCCTAGTCCGCCTCTTCCACTCTGAAATTCTTCTTCAGGGTGGAGAGAAGAGAGCTTTTAAAGGGTGTCATTGAGCAACAGTCCCTCCCAGCTGTTTGCTCCAATTGGACAGAGGGAAGCAAATCCTGGCAGGAAAGACATGGGTTTGAAAATATTTAGCAGTCTTATTCCATGGCCAAAAACAGTAACTGAGAAACAAGGTCTACAGTGTTGAGAAACGACATCACATGGCTTGGCAGGCTTCCCAAATGCTTCTATTTACGATTCTTCTTCACATGACAATGGGGAAAGATCTCTGGGATGTGGAAGTTGTGCTGGTTGCATTTGCAATAGCAAAGGGTAAAGCAGTCAGGCAACTTTTAACCTTTGATCTCAACAATCCAGCAATCTCAGTAAACACGCCCTAGATAAAGATTGTATGAAAGGTTATTTTATAGCTCTGGGTTGCTTTAGTTGAGATTCCTGCCTTGCAGGGGGTCAGCGCAGATGACCCATGAGATCCCTGTGATTCTATAATTTTAGGAATGCTGGAGAATGTGTTGACGTGCAATGCACAGAAGTGAGAGTCCAGGAGCAAAAACTCACCGTGACAAGATTAGGTGAAAATAGGCCACTGCTCTGTCTCCTTGATAACAGCCATAGTCCAGGTGAGAAAGGCAGGTGGGCAGGATCAGGGCACTGGGAAGCCGGTCTGCTGCCAGGTGCCACCCTTCCCAGTCCACTGGCTGAGGAAGACACATGGCAGTCATCGGGATGGACCTGGGTAATATTGCGTCCTGTGTGAGGCCAAAATTTGACACCCTCTCCAGCCCAAAGCCGCCTTCCCAAAGCCAGGTAGGGGAGACACCAGGCTTTGGGAAGCAGGTCCTAGAGCCCTCTCCGCTCCTTCTCAAAGTTGGTAGTAGACCAGTATAAAGTAAGCAGCACATAAAGGTAAAGGTAAAGGTACCCCTGCCCGTACGGGCCAGTCTTGACAGACTCTGGGGTTGTGCGCCCATCTCACTCAAGAGGCCGGGGGCCAGCGCTGTCCGGAGACACTTCCGGGTCACGTGGCCAGCGTGACATCGCTGCTCTGGCGAGCCAGAGCCGCACACGGAAACGCCATTTACCTTCCCGCCAGTAAGCGGTCCCTATTTATCTACTTGCACCCGGGGGTGCTTTCGAACTGCTAGGTTGGCAGGCGCTGGGACCGGGCAACGGGAGCGCACCCCGCCGCGGGGATTCGAACCACCGACCTTTCGATCGGCAAGCCCTAGGCGCTGAGGCTTTTACCCACAGCGCCACCTGCGTCCCAGCACATAAGCAGCACACAAAACACTACCAAACCATTCTACGTTCTAAAACTTATATTAATAATCCAAAACTTGAGAGAACAATGTACAAGATCCACTACAGAAGCCGCAAACAGAAAACTCATTCAAATTGTGTCCAAAAGGAAGATTCAGTCTTTAAAGGTCCTTTAGCCAGGCTTCTGTAGATATAAACAAAAGTAAGTTTGATCAAACGAAGCGTCAGCAATGTTGCGCTCAAGGGTTAGATATCAACGAAGATAAGTTTGATCAAACGAACTGTTGGTGATGTTATGCACAATAATTAGACAGGGTGCCGGCGTTTGTCACCTGTTACGCCCATGAAGAGTCTCGGGCTTCTTCAGTAAATTCTCTCTCACAGTTTTGATATATTTATAAACATTCAAGTCTATATGTTACATTTCTTCTTGGCTTAAGCTACAATATTTAATTTCTTTCTTCAGGAAATTCTCCCTCAAGATTTTGATGTACTAAGGCTTAGTAAATGAATAAATGCTTAAGTCAAGAGAGAACTTAGCAGGCTAAACATATCCAACTCCCTTGACCATTCCTCATAACTTGGTTTCCAGACCTTGGATCATCTTGGTTGCCCTCCTCTGCACACCTTCTAGTTTGTCAACATCCTCCTTAAATTGGTGCCCAGAATTGGACACAGTATTTCAGGTGTGGTCTGACCATGGCAGAATGGAGCAAGACTATTTCTTGTCTTGGTCACTAGACTTCTGCAAATCTGATGTGCATTTGACATGATTGGCCCAAGTGTATCCAGTAAGCTTCATGGCTGAGTGGAGATTTGAACCCTAGCCTCATAGTCACAGCAAGCATTCTAACCATTATGCCACACTGGCTCTCAAGGAGTAGGAAAGAAAAATAGCCAGCCATGAGTTACAAAACAGTTTGTGGTAAATGCAGTTTCTTTCAGTTTAGAAGGCAGCAGAAGTGACAACCTGAATTGTGTTTTCAGCAATTGAGAGTTTACTGAAACACTTTATGCCACAGCATTTCCTCATAATAAGCTGCTTCTGGGCATATATTGAAGTCCCCCACCGCAATCTGATTTTTTATTTTTTTTAAAGTATTTTTATTAAATGTTATCATGGGGAATGTTATCAAGATTTCTATTGTGGGGGGCAGGCTTCATGTTGGTGAGCCAGAACCTCAGTTAGTTAAATATTTTTATTGATTTACTTGATTGTAGGGGAAAGCTGCCCTCCCTTAGCTACGTCCATGGATTTTATCCATAGAATCCAAATAACAACATGAAATTTCATGAGATAAAACACATAAAAACCAAACCAAGGCTGGCATGAGATGTTACATTCACAAGAAAAAATGATAAAGCTGGCTATCTGGATATTTGTGATAAGACACAGAGGAGGTGGTAAGAGGAGAGCACCCTCATAGAAAAGGAGAGACCCGGAAGTGGGGCGCATGGCTTGAAAGATGCACAGAAACACAAGTCCAGAGCTGAGCCGTACCAAGAATAAATGGCTCTTTTTAACACCAGGAATTTTTCCCAACCAAATCGATGCTACTTAGCCCAAACTGAGAGGCTTGCAGAAGAGGCAAGTGTAATTTTTCTTTTTTAATGTATTCAATGAAATCCTGCCCAACTGAGACAAGAGGTTACCTATTTTTCAGGTGAGCTTTCCGGGTCGTGCTCGAAAATTTTTTAAGGGCGCCTTTTTTCTTTCCTGTTTCACAAACCTCACTTTTTAGACCTGAAACCTTTCAGCTCCACGATGTGGAAAGGCGTCGGGGTTTCTGGGCTCTCCTCAGAAAGGCTCCCGTGTGGGAGACGCGCCGGGAACAAAGGGCGCTGCCCGCCCGCACCCAGCGCCAGGGAGGCGGGGAGCGGCCATTGCTCAAGAGCGGAAGGAGCTCCCGAGCTGTTCCGGAGAGAGTGGGGCTGAAGTGTAGAATTCAAGCGCTTTGCATGAAATAAATCCTAACGCCGTTCACTCTGGCTGAGGCTAGACTGCCCCAAGGAGTGAATGGGTGGAATTGACAGCATGGGCTTTATCAGCACAGATTAAGTGCCAAACATTCACAACATGCGGGAAAATGTTTAATACGGTTTGGGGCAATTCACACAACCACTGTGATATGTCAGAATGTAGTTTATGGATAACTAACATGATCTCATGCTTTTGGAAACACAGTTGTGAGAAGTGCACAAGCACCAATTATGAGCAAGTCCCTACCTGACTAAATACGCATTTATTCAGGAACAACCTGTTCTGTGCTGATGGAAAAATACTTCAGCAGCAGCTTCAACTCACAAGTGCATATTCGGCACAGGAGAGGATTTGCATGCTGTGGCAGCTGTGCCAACGGAGAAAGGAATACAGATAATCATTTCAGAATTCAAAGCTTTTCCAAGCAGGGATTTGAAGCCAAAGGGGCATTTTCCCTTCGAAAACACTTTCAATGGCCATAGATGTGTTCTGTTTTGGATTACCTAGGCTGCAACCCTGCGCACACTCATCTTGGGTCAATGGGGCTTACATCCAAGTAGACATGTATAGGATATTTTGTCAGCCACCATAACAGTGACTTGCACTGCTACAATAGCGCATATATCTGGCCTTTCTATGTAAGGTTTGCATCAGGATGGAAGCCTACTTGCCTTGTTCATTTACTTCAACCAGAAAAATAGGTGAAATAAATCCTGTAGAGTACAAATATGCTTTTGTCAGGAATAGGAATACGGCGAGTTCATCTGACTAATGTAGAAACCTCTCAAGCTTCTGCATTATTCTAATATTCACTAATGCCCAATAATCCTGTCTCTTTGTCATGAAGAGAGTTAAGTTATTTTACCTTTATCAGAGCATTTTCAAGAAAGACAAAATGACACAATTCTCTTCAGATCACAACCCTTTATTGGTTAACAAGTAATAAGCAATAAGGACTCAATCATTCATTCATTCATACACACATACCTACCAGATGGTTGGACCCACTAGAAGAGATGGCCAGTCTCTTCTAAGGGCCATCGGACGGCATCCTCCTGCAGGTAGGACAGCACGCAAAGGCTTTCCAGCTTCTTATATAGGCTCAGTTTCCATATGGCTACATTGTCTTGTATTGAAGGGGGTTGGACCAAATGATAGCTGTTGTCATGATTATTCCTCAAATAGACATGAACAGGTATAGCTGAAAACAGTCTGGTTTCTGACATGTTTGATTCCTCAGATAGATATGAATAGCATGTTTCAAACAGTCTAGTTTCCACCGTGTTGTCACCGTCCTTATGAATAATATGTTTCTTCCAACATGTCTTCTTTAAGAACAGTCATTTCTTTCAAGAACAGTCATTTGTTAATAACAGGTGGAGACGAATCAGCATATAGAGGGGAGGTCAAAAAAATATCTACATAGTGCCTAGGGAACAACTTGCACCTTAATATCAGCAAGACAAAGGAGATGGTGTTGGACTTTCGGAGGAAGAGAAGAGAACTAGCCCCGCTGTACATCGGGGAGGGCTGTGTGGAGAGAGTCTCTTCCTTTAAATTCCTGGGCGTTTATCCCAGTGAAGACTTTAATTGGAAAATAAATACAACCCAGGTGGTTAAGAAAGCCCAACAGAGACTCCATCTCCTCAGAGTATTGCAGAAGAACAATGTCAATCAACATTTGATGATCTCCTTCTACCGGTCCACAACAGAAAGTGTCCTTTCATACTGCATCACGGTGTGGTATGCTGGTTTGAAATCAACTGATAGGAAGTGCCTACAGATGGTGGTGAATGCAGCACAAGATGTTATGGGCTGTCCTGTGAATCCGCTGGATGAAATAGCGAAAGAACGTTGCCTCAGGAGAGTGAAGAAACCTGCCCTCAGGCAGAAGATATAGAAGCGTGATTAGTTGTACCAACAGGGTAAAGAACAGCTTCTATCCGTGGGCTGTTAGGCTGCTGAATGAAAAGATAACAACAGGGCAACTGACTTTTGGGGTTGGTAGGTGTGCATCAGTAAACGAGGGGAATTAAGACTAAGTGAGCTGAGTGGGGGGTGCTCGTGTAATCTCACTGTATACAAGTTGTACAAGTGACAATAAAGTACAGTGGTACCTCGGGTTACATATGCTTCAGGTTACATACGCTTCAGGTTACAGACTCCGCTAACTCAGAAATAGTGCTTCAGGTTAAGAACTTTGCTTCAGGATGAGAACAGAAATTGTGCTCCGGTGGCGTGGCAGCAGTGGGAGGCCCCATTAGCTAAAGTGGTGCTTCAGGTTAATAACGGACCTCCGGAACGAATTAAGTACTTAACCCGAGGTACCACTGTATTTGTCTTAATCATATTTTTAGTTCTCAGGTTGTCCATTATTTCATCCAGACATGTTGTCATACTGCTCACCCTGTCTTACACAGTCCAGTAACTGGTTCGCTGTTCATCCATCTATTCAATATTCAACAGTTTGGTTCATTCTCTCAGTCCATTTCCGTCCATCCTATTTTAAAAGTCTGATAATGGTTCTTCCTCAGTCCATTTTTATCCATCCCATTTCCCACCTTCAATAATCGTTTGTAAAGTAATTAATTCAATCAGTTCTATATCTGTAATTCAATGATATCTTTATCCTTGGTTCTTCAGAGCCCGACCCTCTGGTTCTCATTCATACTTCAGCCATTCATATCCATTCATAACTGCATTCAGACCCATCAAACATACTAAATATATAAGCAATTATAAAATAAGATCACATTTGGTTCTCACAGACTATTCCTGTGACTTAAAAACATCTTACTAAATCACATACTGTATATTCTGTAAGAGATTCAGCATATACCTGAACATTAGGAGAATGCATGTTGTTGTTTGATAGTCTGGGGAGCTTGAAACCAACTGTATTGAAAGAATACCTTTAATATTATCTATTCATACACAATTTGTGAAAAACACCTTTTCACCCTCACATCTTCACTGGTGTTCAGGTAATCTACATATCCTGCAGTTCGGAAGACTGTAGAGAAAGGTGACATAGGAAGGGTGGACTGGGTTACTCTAGGATCTGCCTATGTGCAAATACATGATTGTAAAGGTAAGGTAAGGGACCCCTGGACGGTTAAGTCCAGTGAAAGGTGACTATGGGGTGCGGAGCTCATCTCACTTTTCAGGCCGAGGGAGCTGGCATTTGTCCGCAGACAGCTTCCAGATCATATGGCCAGCAGGACTAAGCTGCTTCTGGCGAACCAGAGCAGCACACAGAAACGCCGTTTACCTTCCTGCCGGAGCAGTACCTACCTATCTACTTTCACTGGTATGCTTTTGAACTGCTAGGTTGGCAGAAGCCCGGACAGAGCAACGGGAGCTTACCCCCTCAGGCAGATTCAAACCACCAACCTTCCAATCAGCAAGCCCAAGAGGTTCAGTGGTTTAGACCACAGTGCCACCCATGTCCCAATGATTTAAAACATCTTCCCAATGAGGAAAAACAAGGGGGAAAGTTCTGGTTGGAAGAAAGGTGGGGTATAAATTTGAAACAAAAACAATTCCTGTTAAACACCGTGACATTTGACTCATTGCCCCACTTTCATGGAAGGAGGGAACAAAAGGAAGCCCAGAAAGGAAGTAGCAGGGAAAAAGGCAATGACCCCACTCAGTTGCTCTACTTATTGCTCCTGGCTGTTGCAGATGTATGTATATATGAAGTATATACTGAAAGAACCATAAAAACATTGGAGTAAATACTCAACTTTTTAATATGAAAGGGAGATATGAAGCCCCGTTGTACTTGATGCAGTACAGAAAAAAAGTGCGGCATGTAACCGAACACACCGTCCAGTAGTTAAAAACCATGATGAAAGCTGATGCCAGAAAGAGCAACTGCCTGCTACAGTTTAAGTGGTACAGTGGTACCTCGTGTTACTACCTAATCTGTTCTGGAGGTCCGTTCATAACAGGAAACCACTTGTAACATGAGGCATGCTTTCTCTAATGGTGCCTCCCGCTGCTGCGCCACCAGCACGCAACTGCCACTCGCATCCCAGGGCAAAGGTCGCAACAAGGGGCATCTACTTCTGGGTTAGCGGAGCATGTAACCCACAGCATTTGTAAGGGGGACGGTACGTAACAGGAGGTACCACTGTACCTCTAAGATCTACAGTGTGGCTCAATTTGCCAGCAAAAGCTGTTAAAACATGTACACACTAGAAGACAAAGGCAATCAGAGAATCACCGTCGCAGTATTATCATCTGGCAACCCGTTATACTTTACAGACAATAAATACATATACATGGTTTGTAATATTCTCCAACTGCAACAATACAAAACACACAATATGAGCACTACCCTGCGCTTGTACAATAACTTACTGAACAGTCTGAAATTTACTTAAACTCATAAGACCTGCCAAGCTGAGCTTTTACTAAAGCGGAAGTGACAAGTTTTCTCATGAATATGCCATTGACAGTAAATGTTAATGGCCTTCATGAGGCAAGGGCAGGGCATTCCAACTGCAGAACAGCTTTTGATGAAATAGGTTGGGCATGCTTATTCACACGTCCTAAAGTGTTTTTAGGATGTGTCAATAAAAAAACCCCCACGTTTTTAATGGGACGCCATTAAAACCACAGCACCCAGGACTTGCTGATCAGAAGGTTAGAAGGTCAGTGGTTCGAATCCCCACAACAGGGTGAGCTCCCGTTGCTCGGTCCCTGCTCCTGCCAACCTAGCAGTTCGAAAGGACGTCCAAGTGCAAGTAGATAAATAGGTACCGCTCCGGCAGGAAGGTAAACGGCATTTCCGTGTGCTGCTCCAGTTCGCCAGAAGCGACTTAGTCATGCTGGCCACGTGACCCGGAAGCTGTATGCCGGCTCCCTCGGCCAATAAAGTGAGATGAGCACCGCAACCCGAGTCACTCACGACTGGACCTAATGGTCAGGGGTCCCTTTACC